ATCTTACATTTCTTTGAGATCATTCTTCCATTGTAGCTCTGATCTCATTTAACAATCCAAATTCTTGTGGTTAGATATAACTTATTGTAGAGGCAAATATTGTACCACAACATTGGGAATATTGCTAGGCTCATATACTTTTGCCTCCTATAAACCATTGAAAGAAACTCCATTGGCAGGTTTTGATAAAGCTGTCGTGTAATATCATCTTGCACATAACATTCATTGCAGAAAAAACATAAATAATTTAATGTTTATAAGATGCAAGGAAATAAAATTGAGCTCATAAAAAGACTTACAACATTCAAAGTTCGCAAACAATCATCTACGATACTTATCTTCGGTGTCACATGTACATTTTTGCTTACTGAGACTAGAAGCTTAGATCATTCGACCATGAGAGGGAAGATATTTGGTGGTGTAAGGGCACCCATCAATATCTATAGCTTGGCAATATGCTGCAAGGCAAATAATTGCAAATATGGAAAGAAAAAAAACATGTTAAAATATTATTAGCTCAATGAACCAGTGATGAAAACTAAAATAATTAAAAAAATCACTTACCAATAAAAAAAAATGAACCAGCACCGAGACTTTTGCCCCTAATCTTATACTTCGTCAAACAATGGTATAAATATACCAACACAGCCTCTCCCTATGCAATATATGAAGGGGCAATAGCAGGCATTGACATGACTACCAGTATAATCTGACATTACAATAGAGCCTATAATTAATAAAGTCATGGCCCGCACCCTATGCGCTAAACTAATGCCTTCATTCTCAGCCAAACACTTCAAAACACTCAACTTTAAGCCTTTACAATCATCATACAACCCCTTAATGTCCCCAAAACACCTCCTACGTTCATCTATACCAATAACTTTTTTACCTACAACGGGTTTACCAACAATTAGTAGACATATAATACATAAAACATCTAACAAAGTAATGTACAATTCTAAATCATTACCTACTCTAAAGCAATTTGAATTCATATCATAACAATCTAGGAAAGCCTAAACCAACATTCGACAATGGTTGAACTTGTCTTACATCTTGAGCACATGTTAAAACCCAATAAACTGCAGGGCTCGAGTCAATTCTTCGTCACATTTGAGATTAATGACATTGTGTAAATCCATTTTCACTTTAGCACAAACTAAAAAAAAAAAAATCAATAAAAACAAATACAAAACTCACTCAAACAACCTGGTTAGCTCTAATTCCAAATGCACCGTTTCGAGCCCTAACTTGAGTGAGTTCACAATATGTCATCTAACTATTTTATGCACCCATTAATCTTCATCAAAGATCAACACAATCCAAGCACACTTCCAAATACACCAATTCGGCCAACAACTAAACACTACACTTGTTCTCCATAATCAATATTCAACATTAAACAAAATGTCACCAATGCAAATCATAGAACAAAGCAAAACGAACATAATCCCAGTAAGTTAAACATTTTTGCTCATCAAAATTTGATGCACAACAATAAAAGTAAGCTCCCATATCCAAACTAAAAGATCTAATTTGTTCAACAAAATAATATATGCAGCACTCCATTCACATTTCAAGCTCATAATATATGACTTGGACTAGCCATCACCCCATATATTCTAATTTCACATGTCTGCCTTCCTTGTACAGTTGATATTTTCAACAACTTTCAATGATTAATCTTGACCTCTTACTCCAAATTTTCCCATCATTTTATAATCATCTTTACTCTTTTATATCACATTCTTTAACAGGCCTATTCTGTACATCACGCCAATCCCTGTCAAATAGTTATGGGCATTTGCCCAACATGAGTTAATTGCTACTTCTCACCATGATTGACAACTACATCAGATGGACGTGCATAGTATTTTCCTCTATGGAAACCTTGATCAGAAAATTTACATAAATCTTCCACCCGACCTTCGCAATCAGGGGGAGAATCTTGTGTGTCGATTGCGAAAATCTGTAAATGGGCTTAAACAGGCATCATGATAATGGAATGCAAAGTTTACAGAGACACTCACAATCATTGGATTCACTCAATCCAAACATGATTACGCCCTATTTTCCAGGCATCAAGGTGAGTCTTTCCTTAGTCTTATAGTCTGTGTGGATAACATTCTCATTACAGGAAACAATGAGAGTGCAATCAAAGAATTAAAAGAGTATCTACACAAGACATTCCACACCAAAGACTTAGAGGCACCAAAGTATTTTCTGAGTATTGAAATTGCTTGATCCTTAGAAGGAATATCCCTTATTCAATGGAAATATGTGCTTGAACTCATATCAGATTCAAGGTTAACAATATGCAAACCAAGTGTCATTCTTGTGGAATAGAACGTTAAGCACATCACACAGAAATACAATTAAAAAAACCAAAATTCTAACACAGATTCTTTGTTAGAAGATAGCTCTATCTATCAATGGCTCGTCGGAAGACTCATATACCTTACAATGACTCAACCAGACATCAGTTACGCAATACAAATTCTTAGTCAGTTCATGCATGCCCTAAAACAATCTCACATGGATGCAATAGTTAAGGTACTCAAATACTTAAAAGGTTGTCCAAGGTTGAGACTTCTCTTACCAAGGAAAGGATACCCAAGCATCAAAGCATACTATGACTCAGATTATAGTTCTTGTCCAATGACAAGAACATCCCTCACTGGTTTCTGCATCAAACTTGGAGAGTCCCTTATCTCATGGAAAACAAATAAACAAACCACAGTATCACTCTCATCAGCAAAAGTGGAATACAGAGCCATGGCCAAAACCACGTGTGAGATCACATGGATTCTTGGTTTGTTAAAGGATCTAAATGTACAAGTGGAAACACCGATTAGACTATATTGTGACAACAAGGTAGTAAACGATATCACAGCTAATCCAGTTTTCATGAAAGAACGAAGCATATAGAGATTGACTGTCACTTTGTCAGAGACAAGATACAATAAGGTATAATTAAAAAAGAGTACATCCGGAGCACAGATCAACCAGTAGATATCTTCACAAAACCGTTATGTCATAGGCAATATTCATATCTGTTAGGCAAACTCCGAGTTCATGACATTTATAAACCATAAGCTTAAGGGGGAGTGTTTGACATTAGAGTGAAGATATGCAAAATTAATGGAGCATTTGATATGGTCTAATTAAAGTATGATTAGCTGAAAATATAACATTGCCTTCTATGTAATGATGTAATTATTTCTTTTATTTCATTCCTTACAAGTTATGAATGAGTGTAAAATGTACATGAAGAATATATCAAATACACAAATATTTCTTCTTGTTATCTCTGTTTTTCTTCTCTTTCGGCATACTCAACAATTTCTCTTGCCTTTCCAGCCTTTTCCTCTCGGCATACTACCTCTCTTGCCTCTCAATATCCAGATTCTAAGACTTATTAAAAGCTAAAACTAAAAGTATATGATCAGGTCACATATGATTGAAATAAATTATCATAACAATCTTTTGCTAAATTTGGGCAGTTCTCCCAAACTAATTGCCTGATTGAACATTGTTTAATTGGGTAGAACCTCACTATTTTCTTCCCACTTGCTTTAGTTTATGTAAAAAATAAACATAATCAAATCTCTCACTTTAATAATTTAGTAAGTAAACGAGGTCAACGTTTCAAACATTTGCAATCTTAACTTCGAGAATCATTGTCATTTTAATAAGAATGGAAAGGGAAAACAACTTTATTTAAAATACAATAAAGGGTTTTGTCATATCTTTGACGAGATACTGTTGATAATCCATTCTAATCAAACATTAATCTATTAAATAAATACAATAAACTCAGCGTTAATTCCAAAGTTTAATTATCATTATAATATTACTTGCAATAAACAAAATTGGCATTAGTTGGGAAAAGGGTATGAAGTCCATGTCCATCCAAACTATATTTAGTTTTCTACATTCATAGATGGAATGGTTATCATTAAAAATATTTGGAATGAGATTGCGGCCCACACCAGAGTCATTTGGTAATTGAATTATTGGTTAAAACACACAACAATAGGTAATCTCGTGGATCTTCACTTTATATAATTAATCTCATAAAATCTGTTTAACGTTTTACTTTTGGGAGACGTGAAAGTGATACAAATTAAGGTATTTTTATATACCTTAATTAATTAGTTAAATACATGCAATATGATACTTGTGCAAAACATTTTCTATTCAAAATTAAATAATTTTATGAATGAGGATGTTGGAAATGATTGATAACCAATTTTTGTGCGTTTAGTGATACATGAAAAGGGGTAACTTGGGTCTGGTATATTATCAAAGAAAGAGAAGACGGGTTAATTCAGAAATTAACTGGGGTCTCGTCAACATAGGTCCAGCCCTGCGAGGCAATATAAGCCCAACCCAATTAAAATGGGTTGTTTCTTACACTGCTCTTATTTTGCCTGTCCAGCTCATGCAGAAACTTGTTCACGTCACGCCACAAAGCTTCATTAACTACAGTCCATTTAATGGTCCTCCATACCAAATCTCAAGTAATTTCTTGACAAATAGGCTAAATTTTTGTTTTTGAGCTTTGAGGCCACTAGACAGCATTGCCAATGCGAAACAAAGCACATGATCTAGTAATAGAACAATCCTGGAATGGAACAATTCTGACCATAAGAAACCTAATGCGTTGCCAACTTGACTCTGCCTTTACAAAATTTTCTCCCTTTATTCCCACACAAATTACCAAGAAGACAATAAACAAAGACACTTGGTCTAGCTGTCGAAAAATGAAGAGTCTTCTTAAATTTTAAGTTTATAATTTCTCTAGAAAGCTTTAAGGTGATCCTTCAAGCTGGGAGCACATTACAAAATCTGTGTGAAAGACGCTAAGGAATAGGCCAAAAATTCAATCTACTTAATAGCATTCCCACACGCTGGCTCATTTTATCCCGTTTCAGTGACACAAAATGTTATTATACAAGGAGAGACTCAAATAACCCCTCAAACTTTATTGTCTATTTGGCTAGAGCATCAGTTAGGGTGATTAAACAAACAGCAACTTCCATTTTTTTTTTTTTTTTTTTTGACTCGAAAATTAGCCAAACACTAACATCTATCCTAATACCATCACACTGTCTACTCAAGCAAGGACTCTAAAAACATATAAAATGGTACAAACAACGACACGTTAAGTGTATAGCATATCATTTCCATGCTTCTCACTCCCTTCTGTAGTATTTACAATCACAAGATTTCTAGTCTTCTTTGTTGGCTTCCCCAATTGAAATACAGGATGCCTGCATAGCCTCCTTACTCCTTTTCTTAAACTCAGCCAGTCTCCATTCTCATATCGATTTGTCATTGCCCCCGTCTCACACAATGCAGGTGTGCTGCTGCCTGATACAGATTCAAATTCCTCTTCTTCATCACTCTTCTTCTCAAATCTCCAAAAGTTCTCGGTGTCCGATCCCAGTCTGCCCAAAGTGGTAGCCCTCAACAACTTGCTGATGGCATGACCTTCAGGGGCAGAAGAATCCTCGGCTAGACCAAAGGAAGTCCCCTTGCTAATGTTTGATGAACGTGAATCATTCTTGTTACTGGGTGAATTGGAACATGATGAGAACAACCTAGACTTGGCAGCTGATTCCTCCCTCTCTCGAATGGTCTTTAAGATGAGTGTCTTGAGGAAGTTCATTACTTGCACAGCATGAATCAAGGCAGTCAAGGGATCTGCCATCTGAATCAAAATCAGACTCTTATTAGACCATAAACATAGAGTGCTTGCAAATAAAGAAACGAGCCAAATTGAACAATAACAATCCACCAAGACATGTTATCCCATCCCAGAATGATGAAATGAAAAGATGATTGAAAAACATTTTAAGAAACCTGAGTCATGTTTGGTGCAAAAACCATAGCAATGTTGCGTGCATTCATCTTATTGTACTGTTCATGCTGCACAACATCTGCCATCAAATTGATAGCCCAGTCAAGCAGAGCAGCTTCTGTTGAAGGAAGTAACTTCACAAGTTGAGTGCAGTCATCTTCTGTGTTGCAGTGCATCACCTGTTCTGGTGTGAGAGAATCAAGTACTCCTATTGGAAGTTCTCTAAGCCATGCCTACAGAGCATCAGAGAAAAACGCACCCATTAACTAAAAGAGAATATACAGAACTTATATAAAAAGGGAATATACCAGTAAATCACGGAATAAATCTTCATAAACCATAATAAAAGACAATCTAAAAATGAAGGTCCAGGGGTTTTATGCTTGAAACAATTAAGTTTTATCTAAATCAACAATGCAAAATTTCTGGCCCGCTTTTCAGAAACCAAATATTTCTTTCTTTCATGTTAAAAGCCAAATATAGCACGTCTTGACCAATCAATAAAATTCCACAACCAAATTACAAAAAGTTAAAATAGCTCTACCTATTGAAAAATTGATAAATAATTTCATTAATCTGGCAAAACTCTCAAATTATATCTATACTACAAAATATCTTACCCTAAAGCCAATTCAGTGTGCGAGTGAGATGCTTGTTAGAATGATTATTCATAGGGCCAATTGAACATAATTTTAAAGGACTTTAAACATAAATTTGTCAAATCATGAACAAGAAAGAGTTAGTATGGGTCATGAAATCGTGGTGTAGAGAAAGTTTAATGAGACAATTGAAAGCTAATTGCCATTTTACATTATGCGTGCACACACACACATATATATTCAAAATACACACTATGTGATCCTTTAAGAATACCTTTATCAAACCTGCCAAGCAGTGGACATCAATTCCATGAGGCACTACACCTTTGTTAAGCTGGTTGCGCACAGATTCTTCTTGGCTGTTCTCAGCATTTATTCGGAATATTCCTTCTGCCTACATGACACATATGCAAACATTAATCAAAGAAGTAGCATTGATGCCAATTTTGCATTTAATTCAAAGAACAAGCATAAACATACTTTAAGGCCTCCCCCTGAATATAAACGCTTCTGCATCATGAGAAGAATTGTTGGCACACTGTTCCCTCTGTCATCATAAGAACACTGCATGGACTTGGCAGAAACTCCAAATACGCTTACACTGAACCCCCAAAAAAATGGTGCATCTTGTAAGTTAAACATAAGATGACAAAGAAGTGTGATGCAATATAACAGTTGATGTAAGGCAAGTATTGAAAAAAAGAACCAGAAAATGGCTTCTAATGTATTTCATAAGCATATAACATGAAAAAATATACCCAGAACCACATTAAAAATCAGCTGAATTCAATAATGCGGACACTGAACTTCTCTAAATATACATACATGTAGATATGTCCATATTTTAAGATAAAATGTATGCTATGCAATCCCTACCATGTAACCGAGAATTTTTGTACAATATTTTTCTCACCGACCAGCTGAGATTTGTATGCAAATTTAATTTTCTTGATTTAAAAAAAAAAAAAAAAAAAAAAACACTGTATATCAATAGAAGCTTCATCTGTAATACTGTCTTCTGCCAATCAGACTAAAAATAGTTTAATATAAGGTGGAACAAACAAACGTTAAGATAGTTCAGGGGAGACAGACTAGTAGAGCACTTGAACACATCAACAATGTCATTCAGAATCCATATCCCATAAAAGCATATCCACACTAAAGTTTTAGACGAGTCTTTCAATAAGAGCAAACTACTCACAAGACATACAGTTCAGCCGAGTATATCATACTAGTTAGTTGAAAGCACTAACGACAAATGCATAGCATACAGAAGTCATTAAACCATCATTATGATGTACAACAACTTCCACAGTTTAACCCCACCAATGCAGCTGGCAGAGTTCTTTCTTGTTGGAATGGTTGAGGATACATCAGGAATATACATGTAAACCAGTAAAAATAACAATAACAAAATTTAATGAGGTCATAATCACAAGCCCCACAAAATTTAACCGGTTCCATTTAGGCTTATTCACTGCTGAAGCTTGTTTGTGCAATTACAGAAAATTACTGTCTATCATCATAACGGATGATTTAAGATAAAATTTGCAACTGATGCATTCCTGAATTAATGAGGTCATAATCTGAAGCCCAACCAAAATTCAACGGTTCCATTTAGGCTGATTCACTACCTAAGTTGGAATTGTGCAACTATAGAAGAACTCTGATCATCATAATGGACGATTTAAGATCAACCTTGGGGAACCAATGCACTTATGAATTAATGAGGGTTTTGTCATATGAAATTAAATTCTCCAGATTCCCTTCTTAAAATTCATGATAAATATCAATGAAGCAATGCGATTAGATGCTGTTTTGATTATATCAAATTCCAAAGTAACATCTCAGAAAATGCATTTGAAGCATATATTTAAATTATCTCAATGAAATTCAACCACCAACAAACCTGGCGCTAGGAGCTATGCTTGGGACCTCAGGCTCGAGATCAGTGGGCAAACCAAGAAAGCCATTCAACCTATCGAAAGTCACGTGGGACACGTGTTTAACTTCAGTTGGCCAACTAATATCCATCGAAGAAACATCTTCTCTTTCAACACTGCATGTAACCAACGACTTCCTCAAAGCCGCCACCAAAATATCCAGAATCTGGAACTGGTTACTGTTCTGATGATTCGGTACAGAATTACCACGTTGCCCTTCACTTCTCCCTCCTCCGAATCTCGAACCTGGACTTATAAACGGCGTCGAAATGGGGTTTCTCGAAATAATATAACCACCATTCTCATCCTCCGATTCGAAGTTGTCCTCATCGTCTTCGTCTTCTTCTTCTTCTTCGTCATCATCGTAGTCGTTGTTTTTGTTACCGTGGTTAAAGAATGGAGTGGGAGGAGCGGAATTGAACTCCGTGAGTCCAACAAGTCCGCAAGATTTAGATCGAAAGAGTCGCGTCATTGACACACTTTAGTTTACTTTTTGTGAAATATTGAAGAATAAAATTTAGTAATGGCAATGATAACAGGAGGTGAGATGGAATAGGAGATTGCGAGACAAGAGTTGATAAGAAGAGAAAGGAAGGATTAATAATAATAGAGAAAAAGAAAAGATGAGGTGGCGGGTGTTAGAAGAAGAAAGAAGACGATGAGAGAGCTTGCTTGAAAGAGAGAAGATGAATGATTTTGGTTAAAGAGAGAGTAGATATGGTTATGACGAAGACATTTGGTTTGCCATTTGTTTTGTTTTCTTTTTGTTTGCTCTTTCGACAATTAAAAAAGGTGAAGAATTTATTGGCTTTTGACACGGAAGAGAAAGCCGGTTGACAACTGGAGACTTGGAGACAATACATGAGAGTGTGTGTGTTTTGTTTTTGGACGTTCTTGGTAAAGTAAAAATGAAGGGTTTTTAACTACGTTTTGTTTGCATTCATATATATATATATAGAGAGAGAGAGAGAGAGAGACAGAGTAGAGTGAATAATAAGGTGGTTCATTTGGGTACATGGGTCACGGGTCTTTATCCGATACTTGTTTTGGATCTTTTACTGGTAGTGGGTATCAAGTGATTCCACTTCAAGTAGCGGAAGTTGTTGCCATATTCTTTTCTAATTAAACATTTAGTACTCACAACTAATATTCTATCTTCATTAATTCAATTGAACTCATCAATTTTAGTATTTAAAGGACTACGCAAATGTTAAATCATGTACATGAGCTGCACTGTATATGTCTTTGTCGATATTATTTGAGTGATAGATTAATTAGATTCTGAAGTTGTTGGAATGAATTGTTTAGTTTGGTGAGAGATTTTGAAGGATCAATTTTTTGAGTAATCAAGCCGGGACAGGTTAAGTCGCTTTGTAAACGAGGAATTGGATGTATTTAGAGTGTGGATTTGCGTACTTTTTCCTTGTTTTGTACTTTGTTTGGCAGCCCTGACATTACAGTGATCACATGGTCACATGGGAATTGTTCCTTTCTTGTTCCCAACACAAGTAACCTTTCTTAAGTAAGTTGCCCTTTTGAAGGATATCTCTAAATAAGGGTCACTAATTATTGGGACACAAGAAAGAACCTTATGGTCCCATACGAGACCATTCACCATCAAAATACTAATCCCAATACAATTATTTTGATGGATAATAACCAAGATATATATAGATATATAATAATAAATTCCTCTCCATTAGTTGTATATTTCTTGAATTCAAGTTCGGGAATGTTGGAGCCGATTGTATACCAAGCTAATGAACATAGTACAGTAGAAAACAAGGCGGGGCATGTGAACATTGCCATGCAAATCATGCAAATACAGCAATACGATATTACTTCTCCTCCGGTGGATGTTGATTTGACGGTGGTTTTACATGGTCCACCATTTTCCACGGCTCACGTGTGTCGTGTTGCCTGCTAGCTGCTATTCATTTTAGTCACAGGCATTTCCACAACTTGCATTGCAGGGGTGCTAACCTATAAGCTACCAAATAATTAATTTTGGGTGCTTAATTCACCACTTATCAATTTCTTAAGTTGAGTCGAAGCTTGGTTAAACAGAAATAATTAATGTTGGAACTATTTACTTATTTGCCATATTTTTTGGAAGTTTTCTATCTAATTTTCTTCAAGTCAGTTCTACTGCCGGAAACCTATTAGATTTACGGCCGGTGTCTCCAAATGTCTTCCCAATTGAAAACATTTTGTTCTGATTAAGACGTACAGGCTCCAAATAAAACATACTGCTGTACTGGACAGATTATAAGACAAGCTGGGATAAACTATAAACTCTTATACAGCATCATATATATCATATTTTTTTAATAACATAATCAGCAAAATTTCACAAGGAAATAGCCGGCATGTTTGGCTTATTATTTCTGCCCATATTTCCAATTCTATTTTCCAAAATAATGTTTGGCATATTATTCCAGAAATATTATCCTATTTTTTAATTACTTTTAGACCCCATAAGGTTATTAATTTCATTAAATACCCCCTAAAAAAAGTTTAAAAAATAACAAAAACACCCCCATAACCCATACTTGTCAGATTCGGACAACCACCATCGATGGTAGCTGGAATCTGCCACAACGGTGAATTATCGACCGGAACTGGCCGGTAATTCACTGATCTTGCCTTTTCCAACCAGATCCACAGTGGATATGACTGTCGTTATAAATTGTCGTCGTTGACCGAAAACGACGGCCGCTGACGGTCAAAGATGGCCATCGTTTTGGCCTTTTCGGGGCCATCGACGGCCACAGCAAGCCATAGATCTGGCCTTTTTCGACCAGATCCGTGGTGGATCTGGCTAGAAAAGGCCATAATGACGCGTTACGACACAGATCAGACCGATCTGTGTTGTAACGTGATTTTCCTGCCAGATTCCGGCGGTGGTGGCCGGAATCTAGCACTACAGGTGGTGGGGGTATTTTTTTCATTTTATATGTTTGGGTGTTTAATTAAATTAGTAAACCTAGGGGATTTTCTATAAATTTTTAAATTTTACCTCGTAATACTCTCATATTCAACTATCTAATATTATTCTCAAAATTCTATCTAAAATAATAAACCGAACGTACCCCCAGAGTATTTAATGCTGACTGGTTCAGCTATTGTACTTCTGGCCCTTTGCTCCAAGGTTGGCCATTATGCTCCAAATTAAAGGAAAGTTAATGACGACAATGAGAAGCAAATATTATATTCATAGCAGTCCTTTTCTGTATAATAGCTAGGAATTCTATATATCTTGTGTTTTTTTTGGATTCAAGCCAAGTTCCATGCATAAATTAATAATGTTGTGGTAATTAACAACAGGACCAAGCAATGAAGCCAGATAATCCCGTCAAAATATTGATCGAAATTATGGCATTTGAGGTGTTAAAGATGATGATCATACCCAGAAATCGGATCATAAAGCAGTCGTACTGATGTACAGTACGTACACGGCACAGCCAGAACAACCCCCTTGTAGATTCACAAGTGACAAGATGTTGTGTTGTACGAATTTTTGGTGAAACAAATATGCGGATTTGTACGATGATGATCCTAACACCCGACCAACTCTTTGCCAGTCAAAAAGTTTTTACATATGGTCGCTTGTCGTCAAAGTATATATATATATATGATAAGGCATTATCTCTAAGGTGTGCTATATGAATTCCTTTCAAGCTACTCCAAAAATAATCTGACAAGCCCACATACCACTTTCAGGTTAGGTGAACCCATTTATGCTTTTAAGTAATGGCCTAACAAAACCACCAACTAGAATAAACTTCTTATCTGATTCCTTATTTTAAGTTTGAAGGCATTTAAATATAGCAGTTAAAGTTAGCCTAAGCAATCGGAATCGATAGATTAAACTTCATATTTCGAGAATTTTCAATCCAAATCTAAACTAATATGTGAAAATCAACTCCTAACCGAACTAATTACAAGTCTACGTAACTCAAATCAATTCAATCTCATACTATGCCGTTTTATTTGAATTTTTTGATAAATTATCAAATCCAATAGATGGAATAGGTTTAACGACTGATTTTGGATCGAAAGCATCCTTTCATAGATGTGGTTTTTAATGTTGATGGGCTAGAGTTATGGGTAAAGTGACATTAACATGAGAAAATGGGCCACCTAGCTTGAGCCCATCTTTTAGATGTGTGTAACTGAAGCTCATATAACAACCGCCTAAAAATGGGTCAGCAGCACGACGTCGACCTCGTGCTTCCAGCTTCCTTGACATTAATTGGTTTTGGCATGAGTCATGACATTTTCCTTTTTTATGGTCCTAAGCCTAATAACATTGCATGTCAGGCTTCTGCTAATAAATTGGACATTAGAAGTTGCTGTAGCCTGTAAGTATTATCAAAATTATATTTCGATTGTTTAAAATAAATAAAAAAACTCTGGGGGATGATGGGTCCGCCCAGTAAGTAGAACTGAATCCTTCTGCTTCGTCACAGTGTCAATATTTACTATGGCTAGGGAGTAGGGACCATGGTGATTATATCCAGGGCAACAATTATGAATAGCCTAATCGATTATGGTTTCCACTAAATAGTGCGTTTGTTTTTCCTTCCTTAGATTTTCTAATATAAAGGTTCTTGTAAGTTTTATTTTTACAAACACATAACAACTTCGTTTATAGAATCATATGCTTTCACACTCTCAAATACAATTTAAAGTGGATATATCATATGTCCATGTCATTGCATCCTTTAACAGTGTGGCGAAGGGTCTCATCATTGGGTCAACTAAATTAGGTAATTAGTCTTGTTTAATGTTAATGTTACAGCATTAGCCTAATCATGAAAATATCTAACTCCGCTTGCTACCAACCATTAATTAATGATGTTATGAACATTAGTTTAATTTCTTTTTCTCGAAAAAACAAATCACTTATCATCAATCAACCACAAACCAGTATGGTGTAAGAATAAAGTTGGGTTGATGTTAGCCTAATCTCATCTTTTAATCACTAATTTAACGATCTTAGATTAATAAAAGCATATTCTAACTAGGCAAAAAGTAATGCAAATGGTGTGAGTATCATAATGATGATTTACTTTATTTGATAAATGAACCCAAATGGAGCTATTCTATTTGGAGGTTACAATTGTTAAAACCTTTAATTTCTTAGCATATGATTATTACGTGATTCTACATTTTCAGAAAACAAATCCTACTCTTATCATTTTAAGTCTTCAAGTTTCTTATGCACCACGTCAACCTTCACAGCTTTACTTCTCTTCATTTATAGCAATAAATTTCTTTGTTCGTCCACCCTGACCAAGTTAAGTGGCTTTAAGTCTGGGGAGTGAATGTTTACTGCTGGGCCTTCATTTGCCAATTTGTCTTTATATTTTATTTAAGTTTTTAAACCGTTCATTTTAATGAAAAAAAAAAAAAATATATATATATTTCTTTTCTTTTATAGGTTATAACGTTTTAAATATGTTTAAAACAGTGTGCATATTGAATGCATACCAAATAATAAATAATTCCAGGCTGTTTTTAAGTATGTATTAAAATTGGTTCAAAGTATTTTACCTAACTCAACAACAATACAGGTTTACTCTTGGTGTATTTATAAATTATGCATTTAATTTTTTACATTATAGTATAAATGCAATGAATAATTTAATCTATTCCTTTGATGAAGTCAAAGGAGCTACAGCTGCAATTAAAATGTTTTTCTACACCTACTTGTTCATATTTAATGTACACATGGGTGGTCAAAAATTAATCTCGTTTTCCACAAATTAAATATGATTTAATTCCCCCAAGGCTTAAAACATGTTCGTCACCATCATCTAGTATTCAAACAAGTTATTATCAATTTTATATTATTTAATTGTTTTAATAATTTTTTACAAGGGTTGCATCATCATCCTTATCATCTTTACCCTTTCTTTGGATTATAATTCCAAATTTATTTATGGTAGTTTTGATATACTGAAGTAAAGTAGAATTTATTAACCTACCAAATTATATGAGATTCTTCAACAAAACAGTGTTATCCACTTATGCATAAAAAAGCTCTATCCATTAATATTACCCTTGATTATAAAATTAATGAATTGACGGTTATAATACAGCCAACTAGGATAAATTTGTCTTCAATATGAAGCACAGAATTCTCGCTCATTTAGAACCTTCGGACCAGGCTGTGCAGATTCTCTTAAATCCTATTAATGGACTCTCTCTATAGAGTCTGTACTACTGAGTCCATGGTTTTACTGTACTCACTCTCTGCCCAATGAATGCCACGTGTATAACATAGGCGTCTGTCAACTAATCTGGTAAAAATCTATTTTCAATGTGTAGTCTGAACAACAGAAGATAGAAAACCACTGTGTCCTGCTAATTAAAAAATTGGCAAGAAAAGTAGCAAAAGACAAAATGAAAAGTAGTTTGTAAACAATAGAGGGAGAAAGAAAAAAGAAATATACATTGAGATATATTTTTACCAAAAAAATAAGCGATACAAATTCGAAATTCCCGTAACACATAGTTCATGAATTAGTATAGGAAAATCATGTACCTTCACTTAGTGATTCTCACCTTCCATTTCTGATTCAAAAAATCTAACGTCAGTGGATTATTCCATTTTTGTGTGCCTTCATGCGTATAATTTTCACATCTACCTGTGTTTGTTTTTGTTACACTCTCTCTTAACAGAACTTGTCTCTTCTCTTTTTCTATCTCTGTCTGTCTGTCTCAGTCTCCCTCTGACTCAAAAATTCTCTTCGTTTATCGTTTTCTCGGCGTAGATCTCTCTCCTATTATAATATACTCTTTCTCCGGTGATCATCAGATCCGTGTGGGAGATTCTGTTCCGTCCGATGTGTGGAGTTTGACTGAGTCTCGATCGGACATAGTGCCGCTTCAAGATTTATTACGATGGGACAGTGTTATGGTAAGACCATTCCTACATCCGAAAATGATACAACCAACACAACAACCGTGGTTGTATCCGCCAATCAAAATCAAACGCCGTTCCGGCCGTCAACTCCCGGTAATGGCTCCCTGCCTGTCAAGTACACACCTGGCCGTACTTCCAACCCTAGTCCGTGGCCCAGTCCATTTCCTCACGGCTCCTCGGCCAGTCCACTGCCACCTGGCGTCTCCCCGTCTCCGGCAAGAACATCTACGCCGAGGAGATTCTTTCGGAGGCCTTTCCCCCCACCGTCTCCGGCGAAGCACATAAAGGCTTCTTTGGCTAAGCGTTTTGGCAGCGGGAAGCCCAAGGAGAGTACAATTCCTGAGGATTTCGGGGCGGAGCAGGAGCAGTCTCTTGACAAGAGCTTCGGATACGGTAAGAATTTCGGAGCTAAGTACGAACTAGGGAAGGAAGTAGGGCGAGGACATTTTGGTCATACATGCTCTGCCAGAGGTAAAAAGGGTGAGCTTAGAGATCAACCAGTTGCTGTTAAGATCATTTCCAAAGCCAAGGTACAATGTTACTATGAGTTTGTTGTTTCGTTCAATTTTCGCTTTCAATTGTTAAAAAACCTTAATCCATCGCCATTGACGTTGTACAGAACTGTAGTTATTGCTTTAATTCATTCAGTGGACTCTGCTTCGTTTTGGGGGTTTGAATGAGATACTCTTGTTGCTTTATGTTTGGGGTTTTGTTTTATTGTTTTTGCAGGTATATTTCTGTGCATTTATCAGGTTGTGAAAATGGTTTACCAATGGTTTGTAATGATGTCAATGATTGGATATTTTATCTTTAGCTTGTATGTGATTGTCAGGAGACCAGTTGATTAATGCTAGTGCTACATTAGAACTTGGAAATTGCAAAATTATAAATTTTTGCAAATCAATGCAAGATGTAAGTTGTAGAAGTTATGCCTAGTAAATGAAGTTATGTATTTACCAGTCATATTGGAGAATAATGGTAATTTTGGTTTGTGTTCTTAAATTGACATGGAATTCTGATCGGCTTTTCCCGAGAAGTTGGTTGTTCATTCTAAAACACGCTGCACGTGGCAGGGGATTTTGTGGATCTGCCTTTTCTTTTTAATTGAATTGTATTTCCTTGTTTGGCATTTTGTACAAAGAAGAAAAAATTTGATCAGAATAATTTTTAGCTATGATATTCACAAAAGACATTAGCATGTTTGTCGTTATCCGACAGATTTATGGGGTACCTGACAAGTCTTAGTTGTGTGAAGCTTCTCTAAGGTTATGCCTTGGGAAGTGAGTCAAGAGTTAAATCACCCTTAGCATTGTGTCACTTAGGGAAAAACACGTTGATAACAATTGTTTATGTGAAACATGTTGACGAAAAGGGTGAAAACATGGTTGTCTGTGTCGGACGAGCATGCATAGTATCGAGGAAGTCACGAGTTATCCGAGTTCAAGATTGCTTTGTCTAATATGCAATCCATCTGCAACCATGTGCGGCCTCCCTAGCATATATATTTGCAATGGGAATATGTTTAGTCCTTTGCATTTAAGGACTCTTACAATGTCCTATAGCCATGCTGCATAATGTCCAGCAAAAAAAGGTGGCAATGTGTTAAACACTGTGAAAAATGTTAAAAGACGTGTTGCAACACCTTGTTGCATTAATGTAGAACTAAACTTTCTGAGTATATTGTTATTGTTCTAGTTTACAATTAGAGTTGAGATCAGTCAACACTACTTACATGTTGCTGATCCTTGATGTATAACATACTCTACGCTGATAAGTGTTTGCAATTACAATGATTCACCTTGCTGGACTCCCTATGGTATTTTTGGGATTTTTTCTTGGATGATTTTAACAGTGATGGGGTTGAAAAGAAGTTGAGTGTATCTTTCATGCAAAAAAGGGTAGAGGTGCAGTTTGTAGCTCCATTTATTTTGGTTTTGATTGAAAATTTTGCCAAATCTGATGGGCAGGGTAAACATCGGTGAAGGTGGATAGCTAAAACTTTTTACCGATATGACTAATGAGATGGCTGAGATGGTGTTGGATCTGTACATTTGTACTAAATTGCGGACCTATCAATGATGCTTTAGGGAATTTGTAGATTTTAAAGTTCCTAGGAACAGAAGGGTATGGGGGTTTTTTTGTTTACTACATTCCTACAAAACAAATATTTCATGTACATATTATCTTAGTATTAGATACTATGCAAGTGAATATAGCAATCAAGTGGCTTAGCCTAGTTGTAATTTATGCCAACTTAAACTGGATGCTTTTTGTTGATTCTTTGTGATTAAAGAAAAAGAAATTATTTTGTTTTAAGATTCAATTTATCATTAATTGTCAACTTCTGACATATGTATCGTCGTTTAAGTAAATGTTGATTGTTTTTCAAAAACACTGGAAAAAGCTATTGTTTAACCATATTAGGTATGTTGATCATTAAATATATCTAATCCTGATCTCATTTGTTGTCGTTTTGTGAATGAAAAGATATTATGGTCTTTACATCGGTTACACTGCCTTTTCAAATGGAGACAATTTCGAAAAATATCATTTAAATGCAATGTGGAAACCCTTTTTTTGGAATGTATACCGACCCTTAAGAAAAGGGAGCGAGCCCGGACAAACAACACGTGAACGCATGCAAAAATTGCGATTTATAGGAATTAAACGGGACACTATCTTGTGCTCAATCCTTGAATGCTTTACTTCTTAAGCAATTGGAGTCTCTCACATTTTCCTCTCATAATTTAGCTGTTATTTATTATTGTCTTATATATGCTCATACCTGATATTTATTATTTGTTCTGCATTTGTTACATAACCCAAATTTGTAAAAGCTTTTAATTTTTTTTTTTTAAATTCATGAATAATTGATGTGTTGCTTGTGCAATATCTATATTGACAAGATTTATTTGGCAGATGACAACAGCAATATCAATCGAAGATGTTCGTAGGGAGGTGAAAATATTGAAAGCGCTATCAGGACACAAGAATTTGGTCAAATTTTATGATGCATGTGAGGATGCGAATAATGTGTACATAGTCATGGAGTATGTCTTTTCTTGTCTTCTATTAGAGTAAGCTAAGGAGATATGTTTTAGCATTGTTAAAAGATGCTTGGTGGTTCCTTTTGTCTTTGAAATTTTTATCTGCAATGTGTGAAGTAACAATCTTCATATTGGCCACTTTTGCTGGAATATGTTATCTCTTATCTTTAGTCAAGCCTCACTATAGATCATTAAATACGATTTTATTAAAATAACCTTGTTCCTGCATCATGGAGCTTGAGGTCTAAGGATTAATCCCTTTATGCTCAGGGAGGGTGGGGTTTGGTTGGGTGTGTTGTAAAAAGGATGTTACAAATTTCTGAATGTTGGGCTCTGACTGATTTCGTTGTTCACATGGCAGATTGTGTGAAGGTGGGGAACTACTGGACCGAATTTTAGCAAGGTAAATATTCACTATGCTCTGTTAAGGCATCATAATTGGCTCCATACAGAATTTGTATCATAACTTTGACATCTAAGTGCAGAACCATCGTCTTAAATGGAGTCAGGTGTAAGCTGGCATTTGAATGGACTCAAATATTTTTATCGTTAGGGTGTGATTTATACTTTAGATTTTGCAATTTGCCCTTAATTATATTACTTGTAATAATAATTTTTACTTCACTTATTCTATTATAGTATTGATGAACTGCTTACAAAATTATATGCAAGATAGAATGAACAAGTTGAACTGCTATGGACAACAAAATGGACACTTGAATAATGGAAATGGTACATGTAAATACTCAGAGAAGATTCTTGTCCATTGCAGGGGAGGAAGGTACACTGAGGATGATGCAAAAGCTATAGTTATGCAAATTCTAAGTGTGGTTTCATTTTGTCATCTTCAGGGCGTTGTGCACCGTGACTTAAAGCCAGAGGTTTGAGTGTGATTCATTTTTATTTACTTTAGCTGTGTACTTAGGTATTTTGTTGCTCTCTATCCAACACCAGTGGAAGGTTTGGATCAAGTTTTTATGGATTTTCTCCTTTGCTATCTTAGCAATTCTTTAATTGATACTTTTCATTATAACAGAATTTCCTCTTTACTTCTGGACATGATGATGCTGATATGAAGCTTATTGACTTTGGTCTCTCTGACTTTATCAGACCAGGTAAGATGAACTTCAGCCATATTATTGCTCTTCATTGTATGGAATCTTCATTCCCCTCCAAAGTCTATTTAACTGGCAAATTGAGGCTGCCAGTAAGCTTCTTTAGTTCTCCTATCCGAGGAACAGTGTCCAGATAATATTTTGTGTAAGGAATATAATATCTGCAAATCTCCTTTTTTGGCCCTTAATATTAGGATAATTTTATTTTAAACTTGGGTCCACAACTAGTTTTCATACTTGGCTGACATAAGTGGCATGTACAGTCATGGAACTTATCGACATATCTGACTGTGTTGCTTGATTTGGGTACTTCTATTTTGGAGTGAAAAAGGATAAATTATCAACAATGCCAATTTCGTTCATGAACTCCAGAACTTGATTCCCATCCGAGATAATAGGAGAACACAAAAAACCTACTAATTTTTAAGATTTTGCCCTTATCATAGTAAATTACGTGTCCTATGAGCAATGGCCCAATTATCATTATAGTAGAAGCTAATTCACTTATGGTGCATTACATGTAATATCTACCTCATGCCCTTTTAAGTGGCTTCTAGTGAGTAAGCATTTTTCCCTGCTTTGTAACGTGTAAAACAAAAGTAATTCTAAAGGTTTCTATTAAATTCAGTGTTTGTGATGGCATTTCCCGTATTAGTTTAACATCAATGCAATCAAATGCTATTAATGGTATTATTTATTTTTATTTTTTTCCATTTCTACCTATTGTGTTTTTTCCTCTTTTAACTTTTAATTTTTTTGCAAAGACACTCCCATCCTAGTGAGATACGTTTGCACGGTGGCAGGTTACTAATAATGTGAATATAACGTTCGAAGCTTGAAATATGTGCTAACTTGGGCTGGCTTTTTAGCATTGACAACATAAAATGAGATGCTTACACTGATTGAGCACTGAAAATTGATGACAATTCTAGAATTTATCTCTTTCTCATGCAAAATTGTCATTAGATCGCAAAACTAGATTTCCAGTGTTCTTTCAAACTTTTACTTATTAATGATTTACCAGTTGCTTGATGCCTTAGAATTCTTTAACTTTCTTCCGTGTACATATGTGCAGATGAAAGACTTAATGATATTGTTGGAAGTGCATACTATGTTGCACCTGAAGTCTTGCATAGATCTTATAGTCTGGAGGCGGATATATGGAGCATTGGTGTGATCACCTATATCTTGTTATGTGGAAGCCGACCTTTCTGGGCAAGGACAGAGTCCGGCATTTTCCGTGCAGTGCTAAGATCTGATCCCAACTTTGATGATTTACCCTGGCCTTCTGTCACGCCTGAGGCTAAGGACTTTGTAAAGAGACTCTTGAACAAGGACTACAGGAAACGAATGACTGCTGTTCAAGCTTTAAGTAAGTTGGTAATTCCTAAATTGCTTTCTGAAATTTTTCAGGATATTAATTTACTGGTAGATGTGTATAAATGCCACAAGCCCGTGCCCTTTTTTTTTTTTTTGGCTTCACCAGTAGTACTCTTTTATGATAAAAAAAGAATCTATAATATATACTCTTAGGACAATGAAATGAACCCTCTCTTGCCCTGACTGCCCCACCCTCTTACAGTAAGAAGGATTTCAGAACTGTTGGTTGCTTCAAATGTATCTATTTAAAGCATTAAACTGAGCTTTTTATATAATTGTGGGGGCATCCAAAACAGCTTTTGCAAATCTTTTCAATTCTTTGATATTCATTTCACAAAGTATAATATCATTGAGCAAGCAAAAGTTGGTTTGACCTAGAAGTGAGGTTTCGTTTTTATTGTTGGTTGGTCTATTTAAATAATTTCGAACTAATAAAACACTTTTCCAACTGTAGCTCACCCCTGGTTGCGCAATGATGATCGGCCTGTTCCTTTGGATATATTGATCTACAAGTTGGTTAAGTCATACCTCCATGCTACACCTTTGAAACGTACGGCACTGAAGGTATTATTCTTTGTAAAGTGAACACTTTTCTTTTTATTGTTCTTTGTGTGCTTGTAATCATATTGTAGTTTGGTGTAGTAATTAATTGAACAATGTTAGTTTAAGCTATATTTACGCTATCTAACATGCTTTATAACTATAAACTATTTTAATATTGAGAATTCTGGGGGAATTTCCTATTCCTATTGAGATGAGCAGGGTTCTTAGCTTCTTTTTTTATTTAGCGGAAATAAAATCAAGTTATTCCCTACTATTATTCCTTAGATGCATATATTGAGAGGCCCCTTAAATGAATAAAATGACCAGTTTTGAGTATACATTCTGTTTTAGAGATCCATTTTCTTAAAAGCTTATAAATGGAATTATAGAGAGATTATTATGTTTTCTGTTATGGTCCCAACTCATGTTCGTGGTATTTTCTGTAAGTGCAGGCTCTCTCAAAAGCTTTGACCGAAGATGAGTTGGTGTATCTTAGAGCACAATTCAGGCTGCTGGAACCAAATAAAGATGGAAGCATATCTCTTGATAATTTTAGATTGGTTATCTACTGCTCTTATCTGTTTTAATTGATACTCTATTCTAGATTCTTCTCAGTGGTCTTTATTCTTCATAATTCATATAGATGTAATTATGGTTATAAGAAACTAATGGTGCAGGCTTTAGGAAGAAATGCAACTGACGCTATGAGGGAGTCAAGGGTTCCTGATGTTCTTAATGCGGTATGACATTTTATATTATTTACTAGAGTTATGTTTTAATTGCTATAATGATTTTTCATGATTAAGTTTTTGTCCATAGTGTATGAAAAGTTTTAACTTGTGAATCTTTTTTCTGATTTCAAAGAGATTTTGCTTTATACTGTAGTATATAGCTTTGACACATCTGGATCTTTATCATGTTCCTTCTATTATTATGTTTTGCATTTAACTCAATATTGCTAAAATATTTGTTTGTATGTATCTCACTGTGCTGCATCACTCAATCTTCAGATGGAATCACTTGCCTATAGGAAAATGTATTTTGAAGAGTTTTGTGCAGCTGCAATCAGCACACATCAACTGGAGGCTCTTGAAGGGTGGGAACAGATAGCCTCTACTGCTTTTGAGCATTTTGAGCTAGAGGGTAACCGAGTCATTTCGATTGAAGAATTGGCCCGGGTATGCTGAATTTATTTCAAAATTATTTGAAGTCTCTCTCTTGATACTGATGTGCTCTTGTCCGCATTTGTGATTTATCTCTGTTTTAACTCATTACTGCAGGAATTGAATGTTGGCCCTTCAGCTTATGCATATCTCAAGGATTGGATTAGAAACTCAGATGGAAAACTTAGTTTACTTGGATATACAAAATTTTTGCATGGTGTGACGCTCCGAAGTTCAAACACAAGACACCATTAGTTTTTAGCTTGACATATAGGATTTTTTTTTTTTTTTTTTTTTTTTTTTTTTTTTTTGTGGGTTAGTTAAAAAAAGTATGCATTTGGTGAACTTGGAGGGTTTGCTTCTTTTTCTTTATTATTTTATTTTTAATCCTGGGTTGGGTACAGAAAGATGTGCATAAATGAAGTTAGTCAAAAGTCAGTCATGAGATTGTTGAGGCAAATTTACGTGATGTTTTCTTCTTTGCTCATACCCTATTTTTGCAAACCATATTAGGGAATATGGTTTGAGCTGAAATTGTGTTATTTGGTTAATTTATGAAGGCCAAAAGGTTAATGGACAGCAAAAGATTATAACAGCTGTTTTCATTTTTGTTTACTGGTGTTTATTCTGGATTTTGTATTCTAGGGCGTATCATGTGATTTGAAATGTATATGATTTCAGGATTTGGTGGGTGAACACATCCCTTCTTTGAGCTACTCCCTTAAGTTATGGGACACCCATTATATTTACCTTCTAATTACTTATGATAATTAACCAAATTTCTTTTGATTAAAAAATAATTGCAAATTGATATGATTACCGGGGTTCATTGAAATTGAAAGTCAAAAAAGTCAAATTTATAAATATGGAATTGGACAACATTTCAGGGTTGGCGTCATCGTGTTTTAGAAAATCATTATTAATGGTAAGAGTGCGTGGTTTCTCTTCGAACCATTCTTCAGTCTTACTATCAGGCAAGTAATCATGGTTTTGTGAATATAAATAAGAATATTACAACACATTTTTTACTACCTTTTCTCGTACAACGTGATATTTCAATTGCATTATTCATTCGTAATAAGTCTTGCTTCCATAATATGTCATATTTGTATTAATAGACTAACCATTACAAGATGTCATATTAACGTTATTAAGAATTTATCAATCTATCTTATTCGTTAAATATAAGTAGACTATTACAGGAACATGTAAAACACATTCCTCGATAATTTCAATAGTATCAAGGCATTTAATATTCAAAGTCAATAATATATATAGTATATATCTATAATATATATTATATAGATTATATAATATATATATATATATATATATTATTAATTACAATACAGTTTCAATATGTCGTGGTCGGCCACTATATATATTTTTAGATGAAACGGGTGTCTGAGTTGACTTCTTATAGTTTTTTAAATTTAATATATTATCCAATAGCATGTTGATATTTGTCCAGTTATAAACCAAATAATATTACAAGTTTGTGGCCCCCAATTATCAAACTCACAGCTAAATCTCATAAAATTAGTGCTAAATTATCTGAACTGTTTGGGCAGCACTAAAAAATTGGACCACGCATTGTGTTTGTGTCCGTGTATTTGAATAAGCAAAATAAAGAAAATAAGCCATGAATCCTCATCTCGTACGTGACAGCCAGGAAATTCACATTGTTATGTACTCAATTAGGCTTAGGCCCCCCCAACACAGCACGATGAATGCTTCCACAAGCAGTAGTGAGTGGATTGATGACATGTTATAATTTGGTGTTTTGATAGGCTGTAATGTTTGCATTTTCAGATTTGACCAATTTAGAAATTCCATAAACGATATCATATCTATATCACTGTTTTAAAACGTTTTGGGTTTTGTTTGTGTAAGTAATCATGTTCTAAATGACTATCACCCAAGGACAAGGAGCCGATTTAGACCATTTAATTTCCGTGGAAAAGTAGTGGTAGAGAAAATATTCTTCAACTAAAACACACCATCACATCATCATCATCTTTTTCAAGTGGACAGAAATTGCAGGTTTCAGGATGTTGCCTGCCTTGTACGCTTCCCACCAATTCTCCATTCATATTCACCCTACTAAATCATTCATTACTATATTGCTTTATAATAAGTTAGCTCGTACCCACTGGCCACTCTCAAAAAAGTAGAGCTAGGCTATATAGTTCTACCATATGTAAAAGACAATGAAAAATATATTAAAATATATGATAGTCCAAGCTAATTAATGGAAAATTGCTTAATTATAGATGGAAGTCGTGTTTTCTGATAATTTTAAAATTTCATATCCGAGCATGTCAACTAGTTGACCTTGTAATTACAACGTTGACTTGCTCTTGTTAACCCCACCACCAACCACGTGTTCAAACTACTAAAGAAAGAAAGCTAAACTGATTAAAGTTTGAAAGATCTCGTCTTAATAGAACTGTTTAACACCTGAATATAAATTGGGAACTTCGTTATTGGAAGAGTTGTTTGACACTGAAATACAAAAAAAACTATAACAAAACTCTAGAAACAATTTTTCCATTCAAGTGTAGCTATAGCCTCTCGTTTTGGATCTTAATCGAGTTGCTGACCAATCCCTGTCAGTGTCAGGATCATACAACATAATTTAGATTTTTTATTAATAGATTTTATGTAAAAGAAAACCTACTGGCTGTTTGACTTGATCGTCCAAGTAATATGAAACATGAACCGAAGTCTATAAATAAGTTTTAATTGACACAGACGTCAAAATTATTATCAATTAAATTGTACTCTACCCGCAAAGCAAGTTATATGCCCCGCACATTAAATGTTCTCAAACTATAAGAGTATCCTGTAAGCTCCCCTTACATACGATGTTTAACGCATATTCTATTACTGTTTACAGCCAAGTTCTATAATAAAGAGAGGTAAGTCGTCTATAATAAAACAAATCTCTATTCTACTCGGAACGACATAAAACAGACCAATTAATTAGAAATTTGTTATTCAGGAATAACTCTACTTTCAGTAGCGGAGTTAAATTTAGGCAATAATTTTCAAGGTAGATGCTTTATAAAAATGGCCGCTTCCTATCTAGGTTCATTTTTATCTTCTTTTTTGCATGAGACTGTTCAGATTCGCGTCCTTATTCTTAATTATTGAATGAAACGTTTCTCAGGTTTTATGAAAGCGAAAACCTTATTTTGTTCGATAAATTATGAAGAATCTTACGATGAACACAAAGCAGGTTGCGGTTTCAGGTCACAACAGGCCCCCTTATCTGCATTACTTGCTAGTCCTTCTAAAACTACCTGCTAATTACACAGCGCGCAGGTGCTATTCTCACAATTTATATGTGCAAGGAGTACTCCCATAATGAACTCGATATGAACCAACTGATCAACTGCACTTACATATACAATTTTCCGTTCGACCCACTCACGAGTTTTCAGTTTTATAGTATGTTTATACATTATACTGCAAAAGAAACTGTACGTTACGTTATAATGAACATTATAGAGTTTCAAGTGGCATGGGAATATCTCTCAAAACTTATGTTCTTGTATATAGCTAAAAATGGTATATGGGATGAGTGTGATCGGGCATTTAAAGGATGAAAACACAGCTGATTACAAGTATGCTACTTTGTTGATCAGACCCAATTGATGCCACAAATCTACAAGTTTTATTGCATGTTTACACAAGGTTTGTATGGGTTGACCCCAAGAGGAAATGGACAAATGAAGACTTTTGAACCAATTACTGATATATTTTTATTTCACGAGTCAACCACCCTGGAGTCGCGCCCAATCTTCTATCGGCTGTCCTGACTGCTGAGTGCACGCTTGATTGATTATATAATTATCCATGTTATTAGGAACAAAAGAGTTCATCAATTAGTTGTTACTATTAAACAACCGACAATTGACTTTAGTCAATACTCTAAGATATCACCTTATTTAAATACACGAACTTGTCAAACGAGTACATATAGCAATCTGTAAATCTTTAGTTTCAGGAGTGCAACATTAATACGAATACATACGAAAATAAAGCAGTCTACTATTGTTATTACGACATCAAAACAAAATGAAAACTACATTTCTAACATTACAATAAATAAATATATAGATAGAGCATATTGCATACATCTGAATTCCGCCGTAAAATGTTGAAAACCGCTTTTGTCATATTGATGCATACATTGAATTTATACTGTTTACAAGAGATTCAGCCCAATATTGTTGGGTATATGACGACATAATTTTGAAATTAATGAATTAAACATGAGCAATTTGCAATCTCTAAATTCAAATAAATACCAAATCAAATAGTTCCAGGATATTTATAGGCTTCTGCGTCAATATGACGATATTAAGACTTCCAATTGTGTATAATAATAAATATACAAAAATGTCCCCAACCCTCATAATCAAATAATTAAGCAGATAAAAAGCCAGATTGAATTGGTACAGGCGATAAGCATGAAGAATCAAGAACAGTGAAACCCCACCAGTAGCCACAAGGCCCACAGGTGCTGTGGCTTAACATAAATAGAGCCAAAAGTTGCCAGAGAAACTTGTTATTTCTGAACTATAACACTTAATAAATACAGTCTGAAAAGGTTGAAACTGATTTTGCTTTGGTCTTGCGATAAGGCCTACAGTTACAAAACCTTGATATCAACGGAAAATTACCAAACGTGGAGAGCACCCACCACCCACTTACTCTCTTGACTATTTAACCTCATCACCTAACTCAATTCAATGCTTTCCAAATAGCAACAATGACCATTTATGGCGTTTACTATTTACCATATTTACTCCATTAATTAAAACACAAGCTATCACCCATTTCAAAGAATTTCATTGATTTCAGTTCCCTGTAAGCCTTATTGGGAATACTCCTTTGTATAATTACTTACTCTTTTGCATGACAGCAGAGCAAAAATGGAACAACTTTAATTGTGAAAATTAATTCATAACTTAGCAAATAATGTTATTGCTTGAGTGGTAGGAATAAAGATGGTTGTGGAAAGTTGAAATGAATTTTAAAGGCAAGGTTTAAAGCAATCGCTTTGGTCCTACTACCGTCGGCTGTCGATATATTCGCTCACTCTCATTGTTGTACCAATGACTGGTATGATGCCAAAACCAAAACGATTATATTAATTAATTTATCATTAATTATTCATCTTTAACAAAGTAAAGAAATCAAAGAAAGATTTTTTTTTTTTTTTAAAAAAAAAAAAAAAAAAAAGTCGTTACTTCTCTTTTCCATTACGTACGGTTCGTAACAAAATCACTACAATTTGCAGGCAACATTTTGTCGTCATCAACACGTTATCTTTATCATCATCAGTAGCAGAAACCAACCAAAACCTAACACATCTAGGTCTAGTAAGAAACAGGAACAAAAACAACCTAAAAGACTCCAAATTTACAAAGACCAAAAGGCATTCATTAGAAAAAGATAAGGTATTTGTTGTTATTCATGATGAGCGTTAGGGCCCCATAAGGATTTGAATCAAACTCTAAAACACCCAACATGATGATGGTGATGAAGGGACTTTTCCCTATCAATCATGCCTTGAACGTACCTAAACTCTTCAACATGACAAGGGATGGTGATTGTTCCTTTCTGATCAAATCCATACTCTTCTTCGGCTTCTTTCAACAGCTGCATGAACAGTGGATGATTAAAATATAACACTGGCACTACAAATCTCTGTTGTTCCTCTCCTTGCCCAACCTTGATTGCCAAACACCCTTTTGGAATATCTCTGATTACTTGTTTCTTCCCGTGATGATGTGGCAGGTGTAGATGAAACCCTCTTACACTCTTCTCTCCACTACCCATTTCTTTGCTCTAGTTTTCTTTTAAGAGAATCAGGAAACCAATATAAAACACGAACCCTGCTATCTTTTTTTCTTGGTTTTGAAGATGAGATATTCACAAGAAAGTACAAGAAAAAGGCCAAAGGTCTGCTGTTATGGCTTGCTTGAAGAGGGTGAGAGAAGAGTATCTGAGAGACCTTGGTACGTTATTCATGGTTGATAAACACCAAATATAAAACACATTCCAACCATAAAAAGGAGAAGATATACAAGAATTGAGAGCACAATAAAGGGTTTTATAAAGTGTATCAGTGGAGTTTCTTGTTTTTTACGCTCGGTAGGATTTGAGACGTTGGATTAAAGTGAAGTGAGATGATGATGATGATGATATAGAGGGCCGTTGTAGTTGCAATGGCAAAAGTGTAAATTTTAAATAAGGAAAGAAGCAAGACACGTGGATGGTGGTGGGGTAATGAATGATAATCATAGCCGACAATGAGGTGTCGTTTAACAGTGGGGCAATTGTTAGGGACAACCAATAGCAGGTTTGAACATGTCCATGTAGACGTCTAAGGTGTTTCTCTCTGTAGCGATGATTAGGGGCACATATGCTTCTATTTTTTAACTCACTCATTTTTGTACTTGCAGATCCCAACTCCTATTCAAATTTTAATTGCTAAATCAAAAAATAATATCTTATCATTTAAAAATTTCAACCAAATCTTTAGTCATCAACATATTACTTCTTTAAACACCCAGGTAACGTTATTATATATAGACATTATATTTTATTTTTGGTATCAATAACATGCCTTTAAAATATCAAAATGATGAATAATCAAATATAATTTTACAAATAAATAAATCAACTTTAGAAAACGATAATTTATAGTAAGCAAATAGTTTAAAGTAATTATCTTTGAGTAATCATATTTTAAAAAAATATATATTAAATTAACAAATAAATTATTTTTAAGAAAAACTGATTGTTATCAAACTCAAGTTAATAGAAAGAAGGAATGATATTGTATGTATGCCGTTAAAAGCACGTGATCTTCAGTTTCTGACCGTTAGATACATACCATTACCAGGGAATCAATAGCTTAAATCATAAAATAGTGGGTGGGGTCTTTTGGATAGGAGGAGTGGAGGACGTACTCTGCAGTCTGCACGGACTAATTATATGGCGCAAACAGTGTGACGGAATAAAATCGAAGTTAGAATGACAAATATGTCCTTTTCTTTAGGTTTTTTATAAGTATTCATATGGGACCCAGAATCTGGCTGGCTAGATGTGGTGGTGGATTTCATGGTCCAACGCAGAAATGGACCGTGAAAAGTTGGTTTAGAATCGTGGCTATCCTACACATTGCGTTTTTGCACACTTGACTGTGTCTGTGACCAATTACCTGCTATACAAATTATTTGAATTTCAATTATAATTATGTCCATTGGTTGTCTCTGAAAAAATATTTCATGTCTTAAGTGGACTAGATGTAGAGGATTTTTTCGCCCTTTTAATGTTAATAAAGATGATTTTTGTAATTAATCCTTGTGATGGAATGTTAATAGATTGACAGATTGTAAAATATGATGATTCCTTGTATAATTACCAACTTAACGGGTGCATTTGGTTCATGTAATGTTGGATTACTAGAATCTTTATTATCTTGAAGATTATTGAGAATTTTTAGAAAAATGTGTTTGATTGGTATGTTATATTAATATGTTTGGTTAGAGGAATAAATTAATGAGTATGTTATTTAAATTACTAAATTACTCTTTTGTTAAATATTAATATAATATTATTTTTATTATTAACCTTTTAATTATTTTTTTTAACCCCTAATATTTCAAATTTAGTTAAAACACCCCTGTTTATATAAAACTTTAATTTATGACAAAATCACCCCCCTGTCGCCACTGCAAACTACCGTCAGAAGTCTCTGCAAGTCACCATGAGTAGCTCATCGTGACCATGAGGCTACGATATGGCCGTATTTGGCCATATTGATGGTCGAAAACGGCCATATCTGACCAAATTTGCCCAGATCTGGCCGCTAATGACTAGGGATTTGGTCTGATATAGCCCTTTCCGGCCATCAATATGGCCGGAAATAGCCATATCGAAGCCTCCCAGTGAATTTCGATCATTTTTAGGGACTTCGACGACTTTTCAACGGTAGTCTGTGCTGGTTAGCTCGCTGTTGGCCGTTGTGGTGTGTAATTTGTTTTAAATATAAGGGTATTATTGTCCAAAAACTTAATTAAACAAGGGTCAAATTGAAATTGTATATAAATGTAAATTTTTCTTTAAAACATGAGTATTATTATCCAACATTTTTATTAATAAGGGATATAATTATAATAAAAGTAAGATTACCAAAGTAATCTTATAATACTTAAGAAAATTGAGATAATTAGATTACTTCTAATATTACTAACAGTAAAAACTATTGGTAATGTAAAATTAATGTTATCTTATATTACTTGACAACCAAACATGGTAATCAAGTAATATAAGATGACATAACCCTAGTATTCTTCTATTATCTCTAATCAAACGCCCCTGTAATGTTAAGTAGGATGATTTAGCTTATTAATTACTAGAATTGACCTTGATTGACACAAAGTAAATTATAACTGCCAACTATGACATGGAGATAATTATGTTTGAATTAAATACCTGCAACAAGATAGCAATCTAGTAATTAGGTAAATTTTATATAAAAATAATAATATTCAAATTCTTATTAAAAACAATTGATTTGTTGAGTAATTAATGATTTTGATTTTATTGTAAAAGAAAACACTGGCTGTTTGACTTGATCGTCCAAGTAGATATGAAACATGAACCGAGTCTATAAAATAAGTTTTAATTGACACAGACTTCAAATTATTATCAATTAAATTGTACTCTACCCGCAAAGCAAGTTATATGCACCGCACATTAATGTTCTCAAACTATAAGAGTATCCTGTACTCCCTATTACATACATGTTTAACGCATATTCTATTACTGTTTACAGCTAAAGTTCTAAAATAAAGAAGACGGTAAGTCGTCTATAATAAAACAAATCTCTATTCTACTCGTGAACGACATAAAACGACCATTAATTAGAACATTTGTTACTCAGGGAAATAACTCTACTTTCAGTAGCGAGTTAAATTTAGGCAATAATTTTCAGTAGATGCTTTATAAAAAAAAATGGCCGCTTCCTATCTAGGGTTTCATTTTTATCTTCTTTTTTGCATGAGACTGTTCAGAGTTCGCGTCCTTTATTCTTAATTATTGAATGAAACTTTTCTCAGGTTTTATGAAAGCGAAACCTTATTTGTTCGATAAATTATGAAGAATCTTACGATGACACAAAGCAGGTTGCGGTTTCAGGTCACAACAGGCACCCCTTATCTGCATCTACTTGCTAGTCCTTCTAAAAAAACTACCTGCAATTACACACGCGCAGGTGCTATTCCACAATTTATATGTGCAAGGAGTACTCCCATAATGAACTCGATATGAACCAACCTGATCAACTGCAACTTACATATACAATTTTCCGTTCGACCCAGCTCACGAGTTTTCATGTTTATAGTATTGTTTATACAATTATACTGCAAAAAGAAACTGTACGTTACGTTATATGAACACATTATAGAGTTTCAAAGTGGCATGGGAATATCTCTCAAAACTGTATTTTCTTGATAATACTAAAAATGGTATATGGGATGAGTGTGATCGGGCATTTTAAAGGATGAACACAGCTGATTACAAGTATGCTACTTTGTTGATCAGACCCAATTGATGCCACAAATCTACAGTTTTATTGCATGTTTACACAAGGTTTGTATGGGTTGACCCCAAGAGGAAATGGACAAATGAAGGACTTTTGAACCAATTACATGATATATTTTTATTTCAACGAGTCAACCACCCCCTGGAGTCGCGCCCAATTCTTCTATCGGCTGTCCTGACTGCTGAGTGCACGCTTGATTGATTATATAAATTATCCATGTTATTAGGAACTTAAAGGAGTTCATCAATTAGTTGTTACTATTACAAACAACACAATTGACTTTTAGTCAATACTCTATGAATATCACCTTATTTAAATACACGAACTTGTCAAACACGAGTACATATGCAATCTGTAAATCTTTAGTTTCAGAGTGCAACATTAATACGAATACATACGAAAATAAACCAGTCTACTATTGTTGTTACACATGCATCACTGCTTGCTTATAGAAAATCAAAACAAAAATGAAAACACTCTCAATTTCTAACATTACAAATAAATAATATAGATATATAGAGATATGCAACATCTGAATTCCGCCGTAAAATGTTGAAAACCGCTTTTGTCATATGATGCATACATTGATTTAACTGTTTCAAGAGATTCAGCCCTATTGTTGGTATATGACGACATAATTTTGAAATTAATGAATTAAACATGAGCAATTTGCAATCTCTAAATTCAAATAAATACCAAATCAAATAGTTCCAGGATATTTATAGGCTTCTGCGTCAATATGACGATATTAAGACTTCAATTGTGTATAATAATAAATACAAAATGTCCCCAACCCTCATAACAATAATTAAGCAGATAAAAGCCAGATTGAATTGGTACGGCGATAAGCATGAAGAATCAGAACAGTGAAACCCCACCAGTACCACAAGGCCCACAGGTGCGTGTGCTTAACATAAATAGAGCCAAAAGTTGCCAGAGAAACTTGTTATTTCTGAACATATAACACTATAATCAGTCTGAAAAGGTTGAAACTGATTTTGCTTTGGTCTTGCGATAAGGCCTACATGTACAAAACCTTGATATACACGGAAATTACCAAACGTGGAGAGCACCCCCCACCCACTTACTCTCTTGACTATGTACCCTCCACCTAACTCAATTCAATGCTTTCCAAATAGCAACAATGACCATTTATGGCGTTTACTATTTACCATATTTACTCCAAATTAAAACAAAGCTATCACCCATTTCAAAGAATTTCATTGATTTCAGTTCCCTGTAAGCCTTATTGGGAATACTCCTTTGTATAATTACTTACTCTTTGCAGATAGCAGAGCAAAAATGGAACAACTTTAATTGTGAAAATTAATTCATAACTTAGCAATAATGTTATTGCTTGAGTGGTAGAATAAAGATAGTTGTGGAAAGTTGAAATGAATTTTAAAGGCAAGGTTTAAAGCGATCGCTTTGGTCCTACTACCGTCGGCTAGCCGTGTCTATATTTTCGCTCACTCTCATTGTTGTACCAATGACTGGTATGATGCCAAACCAAAACGATTATTAATTAA